TTGAGCCACAGGCGCCGAGCCTGTTTTTCTATTTTTAATAGAGATGGGGGTGGGGGAAGGTCCTTACTTTTGGTCAGGCTGGTCTCGAACTCATGAGCTCAAGCCACCCACCTCGGCCTCCCAGAGTGCTAGAATTACAGGCACGAGCCACCGTGCCCGACCACCAATAGTTATTTTTAAATAAATAACAAAATTGACACATAGCACACATGAAATTGGCCAAGTAGCAAGTAAGTGCTCCTCTAAGTTCAGTTTCTTACCTTTTGTGTGAAATGAACAATTGCAATAATACAGGCTGAAGAACAAAAAAGGTATTACTGAGCTACAAGAGGAGCCAGGCATGGTGACACAGATCTGTAGTCCCAGTTACTCAGGAGAATGAGGCAGGAGGATCACTTAAGCCTAGCAGTTTAAGGCCAGCCTGGGCAACATAATGCATAGTTATGTTTAGAGACCCCCCATCTCTAAATTAAATAACTTATTAATTAAAACAAGAAATATAACAAGGACAATCTAGAATAGCATTTGAAAGCAAGCTCATGAGGCTCAACCTTAATAGGCAGAAAAAATAGGAAAAAAATTCAAGGAAATCCTCTTAGCACATCCAGGACATTAAATAAATAAATACAAAAATAAACATGAGGCCGAGGTGGGTGAATTACCTGAGCTCATGAGTTCAAGACCAGCCCTAAGCCAGAGAGATCTGTCTCTAAAAAAATAGCCTGGTGTGATAGCGAACGCCTGTAGTGCCAGCTACTTGGGAGGCTGAGGCTAGAGATCACTTAAGCCCAAGAGTCTGAGGTTGCTGTGAGCTGTGACTTGACAGCACTCTACTAAGGGTGACAAAGTGAAACTCTGTCTCAAAGACTAAATAAATAGGTGGTGCCCGTAGCTCAGTGGGTAGGGCGCCGGCCATATACACGAAGGTTAGCAGGACCAGCTAAACAACAACTGCAACAAAAAAAGCCAGGCATTGAGGCAAGTGCCTGAAGTCCTAGCTACTTGGGAGGCTGAGCAAGAGAATAGCTCAAGCCCAAGAGTTTGAGGTTGCTGTGAGCTGTGATGCGACAGCACTCTGCCAAGGGCGACATAGACTCTGTCTCAAAAAACAAAAATAAAATAAAATAAAATTGTGTGAGGCTATCACAGAAAAGCCAGCTTATTACTTATACCTAGGTTTTGTGGGAAATTACAGGTCATTATTACTGTAACTGACCCCCCACTGAACAAATTTCAATGACCCCTATATAATCCTCTCCTTTACTTGACCTTTCAAAGTGTTTCCCTCAAATGGTAGATTTTCCACAAGACTAAGAAGCTGAAGTTCTGAAGACCCCTGGGCAGACTTCCTGACACCAAGATTCACCAACCCCCACAACCTGCCCCCAGTGCATGTAGTCCCTTCTAAGATTCACCAGGACCAATGCCAAGGCACGTGTCTGCTCCTTTAAAAGCCCATGATCAGGCCCTGGACAGTGGCTCATGCCTGTAATCCTAGCACCCTGGGAGGCTGAAGGGGAGGATCACTTGAGCTCAGGTGTTCAAGACCAGCCTGAGCAAGTGCAAGACACCTATCTCTACTAAAAATAGAAAAATTAGCTAGGCGTCATGGTGGGCACCTGTAGTCCCAGCTACTAGGGAGGCTGAGGCAAGAGGGTTCTTCAAGCCCAAGAGTTTGAGGTTGCTGTAAGCTATGATGCCAACTTAACACTCAACTCCAGGGCAACAGAGTGGGACTCTTGTCTCACAAAACAAAAATGAAAAAGAAAAAAAGAGGGCAGCACCTATGGCTTAGTTGGTAGGGCATAGGCCCCACATACTGAGGGTGGCGGGTTCAAACCCGGCTCTGGCCAAATTGCAAGAACAACAACAACAAAAATAGTTAGACGTTGTGGCAGGTACCTGTAGTCCCAGCTACTTGGAAGGCTGAGGCAAGAAAATTGCCTAAGCCCAGGAGTTGGAGGTTGCTGTGAGCTGTGATGCCATAGCACTCTACCGAGGGCAATAAAGTGAAACTGTCTCTTTAAAAAAAAAAAAAAGAAAAAAGAGAAAAAGAAAAGCCCGTGAGCTTCCTTAGCCAGGGACAGATCTGAGGCAGCTTCTTTCCTTTCTCCCAACAACTGTCATATTAAAAATTCCTTTCTTCCTTAGCAATCCTTGTTGACTCAATAATTGGACTGTTGTATGAGCCATTAGATCTATACCAAAACTCTCTTGCAGTTTTGACATTAGCAGTCTCAACAATGTGATCATATCTGCAATCAATATTTTCAAAAATGAAATTACATAGGATATACAAATATTTTGCCTATCCTTTAATTTCCAAAGCACACTCATTCACAAGACTGACTGAAATTCTTTTATGATAGATCAGAACATCTATGTTATCCCAATCACACAAAAGGAAAACAGATAAAGCAAAATAGCATTAAGGGACTTCCTTTTCTAAAATTATAAGACTCTGTGTGTGTGTGTGTGTGTGTGTGTGTGTAAGTAAATCCCTTTATTCCAATTTCATCCTTTTGGCTGAACTTTACTTATGTCTGCCCTAATTCTTATATTCTTCTCTCATATGAAAGGCAGCATTATCCAGTCATTCACGCCAAACCTCCTTCTCCTTCACCAGCCCCCACCACTAGTCATCAAACATTAAAAGACAGCTTCCCCAGAGGTAACCAGCCAGGAGCCAAAGAGCTGCAGCCTTGGGATCTCCAAGACCTCCACTGGAAATCTCCAAGTCAAGGTGACTTTCAAAGTACAGATTAGGGGTGTGGCTTCACTCCCAGATCCTGTTGCAGACCCAGCTGGACTCAGCTCCCATAAGGAGAAGCTTTGGTCCCAGCAAACACATTTGGAAGTCTGCAGACAAATACATCCTGATGTTGAGCATCATCAGATTGTGTATTGAAGATTTCTAAGAACTCCCAAGCAGCAGATAAAGCATCATTTCAGCTCAGTTGCCTGCCAAGTAGTGACCCTAGGGGACCATGGCCAGAAGTCTGTATGCAGAGGCTACCTACTCTGTTTGCCTGGATTTATTCACCAATCTCGTCTCCTTATCTTGTGGGCACATCTTCTGTTTTGATTGCATCCAAATCTGGGCATCAGAAAGGCAGAGTTCGAAACTGATCTGCCCCATATGCCGAGCAGCAACAGAGAAACCTCCTAAGGAAGAATGGCAGATGAGAATGCTGACACTTCTCTGCAAGCAGCATGGCCCCCTCCTAGAGCACACACTGCATGTGAGCAGTGAGCTCCAGCGGTTCCAAGAAGATATGAGCCTGGATGCAGCCAGCGCCAGCTCCCTTCTTGCCATCTCCAAGGACATAAGGAGCATCCAGCGTGCAAAGAGCCATCAGGACATGAAGGAAGTTCCCAGGAGATTCACCCACCTGGCCTGTGTCCTGGGTACACCCAGCTTCTCCACTGGCCAACATTACTGGGAGGTGGAAGTGGGAGAGGTGAAGGAGTGGTCTCTCGGTGTGTGCAAGGAGTCGGTTGACAGAAGGCAGAGCGATTTATCCTCTGAGCATGGCTTCTGGATCATCAGCATGAAGGCAGGAGCAATCTGTGTCAACTTCACCCCAGAAAGTAGGATTCCTGCAAGCCCTGGACTTGAGTGTGTGGGAATTTTCCTGGATGTTGAGATGGAAAAAATCCTGTTTTTCGACGTTGGAAATGATGCCCTCATTTATATATACAGTCCTGTCTCCTTGCTGGAGACTTTTCGACCGTTTTTCCTTCTAGATGAGACAGGAGAAGGTGACAGTGGAGTCCTGAAAATCTGCCCATGAGAAATTGGGCTCTTCCTTGAAGCTTTAATAAAGAAGTCAAAGAGATCTTTGGACTGAAAATGTCAGAATTATGGAGGACCAGACAGTATGCTGCAGCTCAAAGATATGTTAAATATTGTTAAGTGCATTTTCTTGAGTCAATAGCAACAATTATTTAGATTTGTTTGTGGTAAATATTTTAGGCTTATTGATAAATAACTATGAGATATTTGGGAAAGTTATTATGTACTTCAAGCCTCAGTTTTAGTGTGTAAATTGGGATAATTATATCTCTCTGCCAAGTAGCTTTCATGATCAGAGATATCTCTGTAGTAACACTTTTAGTAAATAATCAATGGAGGATAGTAGGTTGCAAGTTAACTAGATACCAAATTTTGTGGATAGAAACTGTCATTTTATAGCTTTTTTGTGTGTGTGCAATGTCTGAGGATAGTCATCTGCGGATAAAGAATCAGATAGAACCAAAGTGAGATGCTTCAAGATGGCATAAAATTTCAGAGAGAGAGAAATAGGTCCTGGGGGAAAGTAAGTTTCTCATTTTATTTTCTCTGAAACAGTTTCTTGAGAGACAAGGAACTTTGACCAAGGCATATTGTGAGTGGTGATTCATATTAACTGGAAATTATCCTTTGCCCATTTCAACAATTGACCTGTTATGTAGTTTTCAGTATACTAGGATATATATGATAGGCATGAAGATGCCAATAGTGTTAATGAGATAATGTCAAGTTTATAAAATAGCAAAAGATTGAGAAACTTCTGGAATCAATTATACAAAGGATGAAATGACTGTTCTGAACATTGGATCCCTGACTTCTGCCCAGCAGATGCAGGTTCACTTGCAAAACCCCTCTATGTTTTCTGAGATAAAAGGCCACCTCCCAGCCAGCCCAAACTTCAGACCACTGTTAAATTTTGATTTGTGAGAATTGTTTACCAGCCATGTTAACTCATTAACATGTATTCATCATAAATTTGCTTTTAAAGTTGGTTTTGGATTTGTTATTCGCATTATTTGCATTTTCTTGCAATTAAATTTATACAATATTAAAAAAAAGACATCTTCCTGAATTTTTCTGGAATTGATTTCTTCTCTATTAGAGTTCCCTTTTGGAAGTCCATTTCTTCATGAGTCTGGCATGTGAGATTTTAATTGCTCTGCTGCATTTTTCTCTTCTTCAGTCAGTGGTGACAGCTAGAAATAAATGATAAAATCTTTATTTCAAAACCTTTAAAGACTCTTTAATTAGTTTCAGCTAATTTCCGCTTTATCACAACAATATATGTTTCCCTAAGTTTATACTGTATATGTAATCACAAATTAGGAAGGCAAGGGAATATACAGAGGGCCATAAAGTTCATGTGCAATTTAAACCAGTTGTCTAATTTAGAACTTATGGCCACCCTGTATAGATATTATGTTATCTATATATGGGTACTATAATGTTTGAACTCATAAAGAATTTGCAAATAAGTTAAAGAAACAGATCAGATAATCAAACAATTTAGGACTATAATTTAATAGAACCAAAGAAGTCATGTTTAGATACCATATTCTAAAAGTAAGTTGTCCTTCAGTATCCATTGCAGATTGGTTCCAGGATACCAAAATCCACAGATGCTCAAGTCCCTTATGTAAAATGGTGTCATATTTGCATGTAACCTAGGAACATCCTAATACCTAATACAACATACATGTCATATAAACAATTGGTATACTGTGTTGCTTAGGGAATAATGATAAAAATAATAACAAAATCCAATAATGAACAAGTCTACATGTTCAGTACAGTGGCAGCCATCTATGTTTCTTCTGAATACTTTTGGCCCATAGTTGATTGAATCCATGGATATGGAAAGCTAATTGTACTTTGAAAAAGTTATGAAGAAAAATAGTGTGAAAATTTTCTCATAGAAGTAGAGATGTGGGCTAAATGTTGAAGAATAGATGCTGTAGCTACAAATAATAGAAATATATCAAAATGGATGAATAATAAAATCATCATTGTACATTAAGTTCAGAAGAAAAGACTTCAGGGCTAATAATCAGCAGCTTAATAATGTAAAGACTCAATTTTTTTCATCTCACAGCTCTGATATCCTTGATAGTGCTTTTACCCTCAAGCAGACAGCAAAATGACCCTAATAACACTCCGTATCACATCTACACAATGTCCGGAAGAAGAAAAGATGCTTTTTCTTCCCAGGGTTCTCTCAGCAGTGAGGAAACTTTTCCAACTTACATACTTCTAGACTTTCCACCTATCACGTCATTTGGGTTACAAACCCATTCCTGAACCAATGCTACTTAAAAGAAAATCCATTCCCCTTGCCAATCAGAGAAACCTCCAATCAGAGAAACCTCTGGAACTAAGGATGGTGCCAGTTTCATTCCAGGCTCAAGGCTGCCAAAAACATCACTCATTTCAAGAAAGTACAATCACGCATTGCTTAACAACAAGGATACATGGTATGGCATATTGATCCTGGGCTATAAACCTGTACTGCATATTACTGTCCTAAGTATTCTACACAAATGTAATACAATGGTAAAAATCTGTGTACCTAAACAGAAAAAATACAGTAAAAATCTAATATCATGACCTTATGGGACCTCCATCATATTCTTCACCAAAACATTGTTATGCAGTGAGTGACTGTGTTCCCGTAGTTAGGAAAGGAAAAACATGCTGAGAAAACAACCAGCCACTGTATCCACCAAAAGAAACTAGGAGCAAAAGCAAAAAGAAGAGGAGAAGCTGAAGGGAAGTTGTACAAGGCTTTCACGAAGCATGAACAAACAGGCCAGCTGAAATAAAGGGTTATTTGGGGAATTAATAGGAGGTACAACCTGAAGAATTGCTTAAATAGTTATAAATCTGCCTAACTATATAGGTCATCTCTAAAGAGACTGTCAAATCTGGAACACCCCAGACCAACAGATACAGAATCTCTAGGGCAGTGCTGTCCAATAAAATTTTCCATGATGCTGAAAATATTCTATATCTGCATTGTCTAATCAGTAATGAAGAACTTAATTTTGAATTTTATTTAGTACTTTAAATTTAAATTTATATAGCCACATGTGGCCTATATAATAAATTGAACAACCCAGCTCTCAAACAGGTCAAGAACCTACCTGATTCTCATATACGGTTAGTTTGACTGATCAAATTGATATGTGCTCAACATATTCATGTGGATAAAATGAAAAGCCATCATAGGCTGGTCACAGTGGCTCATGCTTATAATCCTAGCACTTTGGGAAGCAGAGGCAGGAGGATCACTTGAGACCAGGAGTTCAAGACCAGCCTTAGTAATCAGTGAGATACAATCTTTACAACAAATAGGAAAATTAGCCAGGTGTGGTGGCCAGTGCATGTAGTGCCAGGTAACTGAGAGGCTGAGGCAGGAGGCTCATTCAGCTCCAGGAGTCTGAGATTGCTGTGAGCTATGAAGTCCTCACTAAACTCTACCCCAGGAGACAGAGTAAGTCCTTGCCTCAAAAAAGAAAAAAGGAAAGAGAAAAGAAACCATATGCTGCCAACCCAAAAAGTTAGGATTCTCTTTTTCTCCCTCAAAAAAAGGGAATTATACTATACTGGTAAAACCTGTTTGTTCTCCTTGTAATAATCACTGTGCAAGAGTTTTCAGACCATCTATTTATAAACCCTCAACAATTTTTTTCTCTAGGAATTAAGATCAAGTTAACCAACCTAAAGTTTGTAGGAGCATCAACTGATTAACACATTCTACTTTTATTGCCTTTCTTCTACTTAATCTATTGTTACTGGGCCGTACAGTGGCTCACACCTATAATCCTAGCATTCTGGGAGGCTGAGGCAGGTGGATTGCTTGA